TTGTTCCGCTCCGGCTGCCCTGTAGGGGGCGGCGGCGCGGAGAACCAGAGCACCCTGCAGGGCAGTCCTCTTCCTTCCCTCCCCGCCGACCGGAGCGGAGCCCTTGCGGCAGGAGGCGGTGCAGTGGGAGGGCCCGCGTGGCAGCACCCCTGCTGTACCCCTGGCCACCCCCTTCTCTCTCTCTCCTGCCCGCACCCTCCCTCTCCCCCCCCCCAGCCGGTCCCCCCTGCACCCGGCCACGCCATAGGTTTTTTTTTTTTTTTTGCTTTATCGTTCTGGCCACCCAGTTTTTTTGTTTTTGTTTTTGCTTGGGGCGGCCAAAAAGCCAGAGCCGGCCCTGGTTTTTGATTTCCCCTTTGGTGGCTGTGTGGTGTGTCTGCCTGTGTGGTAGCAAAATGCAGTGAAAGGAAGAGGCTGCTGGAGCAATAACTGATTATTAAAAACTTATCCTCACACTTCTGCAACTAACTCACCATTTAGGAATGCGATGGATACAATGCTTATTGTGGTAGTATTAGATTTAATTCAGATCATGGCACATTCCGTCTAGAGGCCAGGGACTGAGTGGACCATAGGGGATGAACTCCCATCTCAGCCTCTTGAAATGGTCCCTCCAAATCAGGCTTGAAGAACATTGGGGTGGGGTGTGACGGAGCCTGCACTGCTGTAGTCCATGCTGTTATCCTCACACTAGCCCTGGGTTACCTAACAGGTGCTATGGATTGGGGGAATTCTGTACTCGGAAGATTTTTGGGATCGGGCTTGTGGGAGGACTTTGTACCCCAGGGCTGTCAATCCAGCTTCTCTTATGAACATTAAATTAAATCATTTCATTATTTAAAAACAACAACAAGCTATTGTGTAAGCACTTGGATTTTTATATCCAGATGAACTAGAATTTAGGAAGCTGTTTCATGTCATGACTCGATAACTATCTATGCCAAGGTGTGAATGGGTCCAGAGCCCGTGACCTTGTGGTTGCAGTCTCTGGCGGTCACCCTGCCTCGTGGTTGTAGTCTCTGGCAGTCACCCCACCTAGCAATTGTGCTGGGGGAAGTAGGGGAACCTGGGTCCTCCTGCTCCACCAGGTTCCAATCCAGGGCCCTGCGAGGCCAGTCCTGTGGCTTTCACTCTGGGGTGCCTTCCTAGGTCACTTCCTAGCTCCCCCTTCCCTGCAGCAGGCTGCAGTTTGTCCTGGCAAACCTCATGTCCTACCTCCTGGGTTGCCCACCTATCTCCGGCCCATAAAAGCTACTGCTCCCTGACGCTCCTCCTCCTGGTCTGGGTCTGGCTGCGTCGTCCTCCAGAGCTGGTCTTTCCCCCTGCCCGGTCCGTCCCCAGCTGGGTTGGCTGGCTCCCCTTCAAATCTGCTCAGCACTGACGGAGGAGTGGGGCCTCCTGAGCCCAGAACTGCTCTTGAATCCTTTGCTGTCCCGTGCGGGGTTTATACACCCAGTCACACAGGGATTCACTAAAAACTCTAATTTCTTGTGATGCCGGGAATTCCCTCATAGGTATTATGACATCTTAATAATAATTCTTCAGTAACTTACTGGGGGTTGGGTTTTTGTTTTGTTTTTAATAAATGCCAGTGGAGTTTTCTTTCTTTCTCTCTCCAGGTCTGGGTGGTGCCCTGGGTTACCTAACAGGTGCTATGGATTGGGGGAATTCTGTACTAGGAAGATTTTTGGGATCGGAATTCCAGGTGATGTTCATCATTGCGGCTTTGGTTTTCCTAATCTGTCTTACTGTACACTTGTGCAGCATTCCCGAAGCCCCTCTCAGAGATGACAGTACAGAAACTAAGCTCTTGCTGAAAGTGGATGGACCCTCCGAGTATGGTTCCATCGAGAGCGTCAACAATGGTTATTTAAAACCAGGATATGCTGAAAAAAAGATTTTATCTGAGTTGGGGAAATCCACCGAAACACCACAGACACAGGTAATTGTTTTGTACCCCGTAACATTCCATTTGGGGAAGGTCATAGCTCCAATCCTGGAGCCTATGATGCAACTGCAAGTGATGTGGTCAGCTAGACCCTCAGGTTCTCTAGAAAAGTAACATGGAAGCAGTAACAGTCTTCTAGGGATAGTTACTTTTCTTCAGTTTGTCATCATCAGCCAGATTGGTGAAAACTACAGGACAGGCAGCATCGTTTAGTGCTTAGAGAAGGCAACTGAGGAGCAGGAAATCTGGGTTTTCTATTCTAGACTCTTCCATGGATTCATTATATAATCTCGGGCAAGTTTCTTAGCTGCTGTTTCCCAATATTTCCCCAGATGGGGTTAGCAGTATACCACTTTGTAATGAGCTTTAACACCATATAGTGTAGAAAGAACGAGAAACCCAGCTGCCCTCTGATACATATGAACAGCTCCCATTGAAGTCAATGGCACATACACATGTAAGCTCTAATGGCAAAATATCAGTGTTCACTGCTCTAATTAAGTATGGTATTCAGATCTTGGAAAAGTAAATCCTGGCAATGCTGATTTTGTTTTAATTGCTTCTTAATCAGATACGCCAACTGTGAGTCAGTGGTAAACGACTGGCTGCTGCGTTTTGTTACTTAGGGACTTTATATCTATAACTTCTCCAGTGTTCCCCAGGTGGGAGCGGGTGCCGAAGAGTTGTAAATTGGCACATGCATTTTGTACGTTCCATTGAGGCCTTTTATTTTCAAGCCAAGGCAACTTGGAAAATCGCTGAGACGATTCTCTCTGAAAAACATGGGAACATTGTGTCTCTAGCATAATGCTAGCCAAATGAAATAGTCAGTCTTTTTTTTTTTGCTGTTATGTTGACTAGAAGTGTTAAGAATCTTCACTGCATTGTTGTGGTAGCCTAGGAAAATGAAATGCTAATCTATGTGTTTGGTTCCTAACCACGAGTAATGAGCTAGAGAGCTGCCTGTTTTGCTTCCCTTATGTGCAAGTGTCTCTGATTTAAATCTTTGGAAACTAGTTATATCCTGTGGCCAAAATGTTCAGATATGGGTGCTTAAAGTTAGGCACCTAAATCCTCATTTAGGTTCCTAGATAAAAGTGGCCTGATTTTAGGTGTGTGTTTGTATTCTGCTTGCACCTAGAGGCCCCATTGTGCTAGGAGCTGTACGAACATAGAATGGATGATAGGCCCTGCTTGGAGGGAAGACAAAAAGAAAGAGACAAACAACAAATAATCAATTTGTCAGAATTATGGAACTAATACATTACAATGTCTCCCTGCTTTCCCCCTGCCATCCCCTCAGCCCAGCTGTAGCAGCCAACATCCTTCACCACCATTGCTCACCAGGAGTGCCCTTCCTCAGATTGTTCGAGGTGCCGAACACCCACCACTCCCTTTGGCCACAGAAGTTCTCAGAGAGGGAGATTTATTGAGAACAGAGAAAGCAGGTCACATAAGAACATGATAAGCAGGCGGCATAATACAGCTAGCCACTCACTGAACAAGCTAATGTCAGTGAATCAATCACACATGATAATTCAGAAAACCCAACCTGTCTTTTCTTGCTGTTCCACGAGCTTCCTCTCTAACCTTTTGGTTGAGCAACTTGCCAGAGACCCAGATGCTGGTATTGAGGGTCTTGTGTCTCTGTGTCATCTTCTTTTCCTCCACCTGACTTGTAGCATTCTTATGCATCTCATGTTTCTTTGATGTGTGTGGCTTAGCAGTATCAGTCCAGACACCCTCGCCTTGCCACAAATGTGTGTACCACTCCAATGCCTCCCTAGAGACACATCTTCTGTCTATCTCATGCCATATCCGCTGAATGTTTTCCACATTCATTTACTACCACTGCTAAACCACTTAGGTTCCTATTGTTCTGTCCCCCTTTTATATTTTATTTCCAAACAAGCACCCCTTCAGGCTCATATTTGCTCTAGGATCACGCTCTTGCATATTTATTGTCTCGGCAAGAGGTATCAACCTGAATCCAGGCTGATCTGCCTTCAATGAGACAGGCTTGGATTATTTTTGCAATTCCCTCTTAAACTGATTTCTGTCCTGTATCAAATATAAATTGACGTTGTTGAAAGCTTCTGTGAAAATTTGTGAGTTCAATACCGACCCTTGAACGACACTAAAAAAACCCTACGTTTACAAAATCAGAAATACTATATGAACTAAAAATCACTTGCAAATTGCTTTATAAAGACCTTTCACTAAAAGAGAAACGGTTCTGTTAACATAATTTTTGCAAAAAGGAATGATTGTGCTTTTTAAGGGCTACCAGTGAATTAGCTAATCTAATTAATGCCAATGTGTTGTTCCAAGATTAGATACCTTAAAAGCAATCATAGATTTTCAGTATGTATTATGAATCTTTTGACTAAACTCCTGGTTCTTCATTGTGATTGAGTTGTTATAATATGAATAGACATCTGCACTGAATGCTTGTCCTCTAACATGTGGCCAGATCGTTTAGGGCCTGATTCTGTAACCCTTAGCCATATTGAGTGGCACTTATCCCCATGAATAATCCCATTGATTTCAAATTGATTTAATTGAGAGCTGCTAGGTGCTTGGTGCTTTCGAAAAACAGGTCACATTTAGGTGCATGTGATGGGGACCCCACGTCTCCTGTCCTTTTTGCTTTGCACAGTCTGCTCAGAGACCTTCTATCTTGTAGATACCCCAGTGCAGTTTATTTAGTGTTTCACTCCACCACTTTTCATATACTACTGCGGTCACTGTATTTTACAATGTTATCCAGCTTTGCTAATCCTTCTGCAAAAGGTAGGGGAGAAGGGAAGATGTCTCCTCCCCAAGAACTCCCATTTGCCTCCCTCCCCGTCCACCCGTTCACATGAAAGGGTAGATTTTGGCCCACTGAAGTTTTTTAATTAGCTACAAAGATTTCAGGAGAAACACAAGTGAGGGAAAGATTATTTTAGCCAAACCTAATTGCCTAATCTCGGGCTGTTTGGTAAATTCGTGGGTTTTTTTATTTAATGCCCACCAATATAGTGCTCTACACTGTTCAAACAAATAAGCCATGGTACCAATGCCTAATAACATAAAGTCTATTTCAGATTCACATAAAACAGTTCTTGTATGTAGACTGTAAGAAAACCTCTCTTTGTAAATGGTCTTGTAGTTACAGCATTGGGACTCAGGAGATCTGGGGTCAGTTCAAGCTTTGCCACAAATTGTGTGTGAGCTTGGGCCAGTCATTTAATCTCTCCCTGTGCCTTAATCCTCTGTCTGTCAAATGGGATGATGGTATTTCTTTCTCCCACCATTTGTCACATCTTGTCTATTTAGAGCTAAATTGTGACACCTATGCTGAATACTATCTTACTCCTTGGGTAGTTCCATTGATTTCAATGGGATTATTTGTGATGTAAGGCACTACTCAACACAAATAAGGCTAACACAATCCGGCCCTTGTGTTGTAGGCTCTTCAGGGCAGGGACTTTTTCTCATTGTGTACTTGTACAGTGCTTAGATCCCTGATCTCAGTTGGGTTCCCTAGGTGCCATTGTAATACAAATAAATAGAGCTGTTCAGAAAGTTTTTTCCCCCCTATGGAACATTTTGATTTTTGGAGAAAATATTTTGGCCAAACCCAAAATATGAAAATGTTGAACTGCCACCACGGTGCCTCCTGGGCGCTGTAATTCAGGTACCCTGTGCTCTCATTATTTTCTATACGCCAAGCTCCCTGGCTATACTACATGTCCCATCAGGCACCATGGTGTCACCTCATGGTGAGGTGGTATATAAAGGCAATGTGGTAGCAATGTGTGATGGGAGCTGAAGTCTGGGTGGGGAGACCAGCCCACAGAGGAGAATGGGAATATGGGGCACCTGAACTACGACTCCCAGGAGGCACCTCTGTAGCATTTCACAATAGAAATATTTTGATTTTCAGATTAAACATTTCATTTTCTGCTATTCAGTTTTTCTGTGAAAAAATTGAATTCTGACACTTCATGAAAAATTCCATTTAGTCGAAAACCCAATCTGCTGCTGAAAAACAGTTTGACAGAAAAGTTGGAAATAAATAGTAATATTTAATATCAAGAAAGACTACACCATATTGGGCTGATCCATCTCTCATCAAAGTCATTGTGAGTCTATCCATTGACTTCATTAAATGCCCGCTAACCAATGCACTAGTTCTGCTGATACCAAATAGAAAAGAAAGATACAAATATGTAGTTACTGAACCTAACAAAGAGATTGTCAAGATTGCAGTGAATCTTCCTAGTGAAACAAACAGAAAAGGCCCAGAACTGAAAAAAGCTGAGATCTTGCCGACCCGCGGGCAGCTGTTTTGTTAGTTTTCAAAGCAGCAACACTGTTGTTTGTTGTTAATTGTTCCTTCCAGGTTCAGACACGGATGACCGTTAAATGCCTTCTGAAGGCAATTTTAAGTATGCCTTCCCACTATCGCTGTCTGTGCATCAGCCACCTCATCGGGTGGACAGCTTTCCTTTCCAACATGCTCTTCTTCACTGACTTCATGGGACAGGTAAGATAGGTACACATCTCCTCACATACCCCAAAAGTAATCTTCTCGTGGGATTGTTTTAAGCACTTGCCTATGTTGTGACAATGATGTCAGGGTCAGCAACTGCTAGAACAGCTGACTGAGAGTTTTGTAAAGGACAGATGAATGCCCTCAGGTCCTCATTATAGAACTAGATCTGTTGGGTAGCGGGGGCGGGGAAGGGCCTCCTGCCTTTTGATGTACATTTGGCTGAAAGAGATAAAATAATGATTTTAATCGTGCTTCCTGGAACTTGCAAGGACATCTATTCCCATTTAACTATTTAGAACAAAGCACAGAGATCTGTTGCAAACACACCAGTGCTCTGCTCTGTAAGGCTGCTCATTGAAAGTGTACTAATTAAAGACCTGCTGCTGCTTTTGAATAGGCTCTGCTGTGGCGCACTGGAGTAGCAGTCGCCATGCGCACCCTTCATCTGGAAGCATAACAGAAAAGCTTCCCTAGGGCAATACAACCCTCTGCAGCTCAGCCCTTTTGCCTCCTTTGTGAACAGGCTTCCCCTTCCATGGCCTCTAGACTGTGCTGTGGTGCCTTCTCTGGAGCATGACATCAGCTCCTTGCCATTGGTGATTCCTTCCTTTCAGGGCCCCTGAAGCTCTCCCTTCCTCCAAGCAGTTTCCAAACCAGTGGCTCCCCGTGCTCTACCCTAACCATGTGGTTCTCCCTTCTTCTTGCCTCTCTGGCCCCAGCTGCTTCTTTTCAGTCAGGCTCCTGACTACATCCCCAGCAGCTGCTGTCCTTCCCACTGGTTATCCCAACACCTCCCACCCAGCAGCCTGCTTTCTTCTGGCCCCCAACCATTTGCTAGATGCCACTAGGGGAGAGGGAGTGTGTGTTTCCCAGGGAGTGTGCATGTGAATATATGGCAGCGTGGGAGAGAATGGGGTGAGAGGTGAATAAGAGACTAAGTCTGACAGAATGAATGGAAGGAAGAGTGTATGCGTGAGTGTAAGGATGAGTCTGAGAGAGAGAATGAATGACTGTGGCAGAGTGAGAGGGACTGAGAATGATTGACTGTAGGCAAGTGAGGGGGGATAGGTGGTTGAAAAAAGGGAGGGATAGGTTGGGAGGAGAAGAGAGGAGGAGGACAAGGAAGAAAGGAGCAAAAGGCAAAGTGAGAAAAAGGAGAAAACAGAGCCCTAGAGAATGGATAATCCGGAGAGAAGAGGAGGGCAACAAGAAGGGTGGGATGCAAGGCAAGTGTGAGAGGGACTGTGGGGAGCTAGCTGAGGGAGATAAACAGGGAAAAGGGGGAGGAACTTGAGAAGAGGGAAGAGAGAGATGGTGGGAAACTGGGAGGGAGGGAGAGTCCCAGTGGGTGGGAAGAGGCAAGAACAGGTTAGAAAATAATAAAGAGGGAGGGAAACAGAAAATGGAAGTGAGAGGGGAGAGAAGAAAAGAAAAATGAAGTGCACCACTTGAAGGCTACAGAGAGTTGTGTAATTGGTCTCTAGTTCTCTCCCCACCTGAAGGAAATTAGGTCCAACACTGGGAACTCCGGTTCCTTTGGATGTGAGACTCTGTGTGAATGCAGAGCACTCACCTGCACTTTGTGGTGTATTTCAGATAGTATACCACGGAAATCCTTATGCACCACATAACTCCACAGCTTACCTTACCTATGAAAGAGGAGTCGAGATTGGATGTTGGGGCATGTGCATCAATGCAATTTCTTCATCGCTCTATTCCTGTAAGTACCCGGGAATGTACTCTGGCACCGTGTTTCAGAATGGGTTTGATACTGTACATCGTTTCCCATGTTTTAAAAAAAAAATCTACGGTGTGCAGTGTTGTTGTAGCTGTGTTGGTCCCAGGACATTAGTGAGACAAGGTGGGTGAGGTGATATCTTTTATTGGACCAACTTCTGTCGATGAGAGAGACTATCTACTGTTTTTTAATTTTAAAACCTTTCAGAAATGTTACAAGGACCAGATCCACAAAGGGACCTCGGTGTGGCAATGCCTAACTTTTGGGCATCTAGCAAATCACAGGAACAAAAATGGGATCCACAAAGCCTGAGCCTCATGTGCAGACTCCCTATACAATGAATGGGGAGAGACAGGTGCCTTAAACTGTGATTCAAAAGAGCCAGCACACTAGGTGGGGAGCCACCTTAGCTAGCTAATGGGAGATGCTGACAAGAGGGGTGTGTCCTAAGCCTCACCTTTCTCTCAGAGATAGGCACCTGGTCCATGATTGGGACCCTCCTCTCCTAAAATCAAGTGGCTTATGCACCTGACTCCACAGAAGAAGGAGGGATGGTGGTGCTGTTGCTGCCCACTTTATAACTTTCAGCCTAGGGATGTGGAAGACTCAGGCTCAATCCCCATTTCTGCCTAAGGTGGAGAAAGGATCTGAACAAGGGTCTCCCACCTCTCAGGAGAGGTGCTCTAACTACAGGGCTATGAGCTATTCTGATGTGGGGCATCCTCTTTCTGTCCAGTTTGAAGTTGTGCCTACCCTTTATGGCTCTGAGCCCAAGTTTTTGTTCCATTGCAGTGGGACTACTCAGGAAGTGAGGTACTGTGCAACAGGAGAGGTGGCCCATAAGTATTAAAAATGACCCAAAGGCGAATGCTGGAGGTAGAATGGATACACTGGGGATAGTTCTAAGGTTCTGTTTCACCTAGCAATCCTGCCGCTGTGGCCCATCTCTTCATGGCCTCTCCCCACCGGTGCGCCTCACAAGAGAAAGTCATCACAGTGTATTGCAAGACCTTGCGATAAAAATGAATCTTGCCCTGCAATATCATTATGTAAATGTGTTAGCCCAGGGCCAAAAATCTGTTTATTAGCCCTTGGCATGGTGATAAGGGAATAATATATAAAAAACTGTTCAAAAAGCTTTCACTTTCTCTGTAGGCAGAAAAGTGAGTAGACTTTTGGAGGGCTGAGCTATGCATCTAATAAAAAGGCCTTATTGTAATCCTGTGTAGATCCTTTCCTTTTGGCTCTCAATTGCAGATATTTGTGTAATACTTCCTTCAACTCCAACAGGAACGTCTAAAACTGATGTCAAATGCTCCTGATGTCAAACAGTGGATCTGTTTGCCTTCATCCCAGCTTGTCAAAGAGATTCTCTTACAATTGAATGCTCGAAATAAATATTATTTCAATTACTAGGTTGGGTTGTTTTTAGTCTCAACAGTTTTTCCCCCCTTTCTTTTCACAGACTTGCAAAAAGCTCTTCTGCCTTGTATAGGATTAAAGGGACTTTATTTCATTGGATACCTGCTTTTTGGGATAGGCACTGGGTTTATTGGACTGTTTCCCAAGGTATATTCTACTCTGGCTCTGTGCTCGCTCTTTGGAGTCATGTCCAGCACACTGTACACTGTCCCATTCAACCTCATTGCAGAATATCACAGGGAGGAAGAGGTGAGTTTAATGTCTAGTAAAGAAGGAATTGGTATTTGCCTTGTTTTGTTTGGTCCATTTTAATTGGAGAAGGGGATTTATTTTCATTTCAGATGGTGCCACGGGGGGGAGGTGGAGTTTCAAATGTACAGAGCTTCAAGAGTGTGGTGATAAACAATGCTAATATTACAAATCATTTGCCATTATAAAGCACTTTTCACCTGAGATCTCAAAGAACTTGAGAAACATAAATGAAGCTTGTGCCAACCTTGTGAGAGAGGTAAGGACTGAATCAGTTTAGGGAACTGCGGCACAGAGGCTAAGGCCCCAGTCCTGCAAGTCACTCAACTCAGACAAACCCATGTGTTTGCATGGAACCCCACTGATGCCAATGGGTTTCTGCAAAGGGTGTTTGTCATGTTGTGGGGTGCAATCCAGACTAGTGAGGGATTATGTCACTGCCTACCCTGTAATCCTGGGTGCCTTAAATGTTCTGCTGCTGTGGCTCCCAGCCTGGTCACCAATAGGCAGCAGACAAGCATTGCACTAAGCGTCTGTGTATTAAGCAGCTCCAGTTCAGCAACCCTAATTCCAGTAGCCTACTATGCTCTGGTCTCCACCAGCCTTGGTCACTACTAGCCAAGTGACTCCAACACACTCCCAGTCCCGACTTTGCAGAGCACGGGGTTTGGGGAAATGTCCAGCCCTTTCCTGGACCATTCAGAGAAATATTAAGGTTCGTTTGCTCCTCTAAAGAGACTGGAGTTAACAATCACTTTGAGTCACACAAAACACTGGGTTGGCTTAGGTTACAAGTAAAACAAGTTTATTAACGGAAGGAGATAAGATTTTACGTGATACCAAGTAGAAGGAATAAAGTTAGAAAGGGTTACAAATGAACTAAAGTAAAAATAAGCTTTCTAGTGACTCTGACTTAACAAAATCACAGTCTTGGTTCAAAGTAAGGTTCTTCTCACACTTTCTTCCAGCAAGATGGCTGGCCTGTCCCTTGGTCAGGATCTCCCACAAAGTCCAAGTGCCTGGTTCCTTTGTCTTCTTAGGTGACAGCTCATTTGAGGATTTTCCCCTCCCCCCCTTTTATAGTCCAGTGAACCTTTGAAATGGATTCTTCTGAAAGTTACCCCTTCCCCCCAAAATAAAGTTCATTCAAGCTGTGAGGAAGGAGACATGGAGTCTGGTGGCTAAGGAAATTCCATGCTGGTTTCTTCCCCTGATGGTGTTTGCTAAAATGAAAATTAATCTGTTTCTGCCCACTCTGCTGCAAATAAATGGCCACTTGACATGTGATTGGCAATCGACTGATGCTACCTGGCTGGAGGTGTTAGCTTGTCTTTTGTTTGGGAGAAGCCTGTTTACACACTCCCCGGACTTATCTGGTAAACACATTTTAGTCTCACATTTTCTTCATGTTTGTATAGTCCCTTAAGCATTTATTGTGCATATCCCACACAAGACTATTAATGATCAGCATGTTATTGGTTTTCCAGTGGTACCTTACATGATACATATCAGGTACAGTTTATGACATTAATGAGTTGGGGTACACGGAACTGGTCACACCAGCTGAAACTCTCTAATAGATCTCAGGGAGTCCCTTCTCTCTGGCATTGGGATGCTTTTAGGTACAGTGTCCCCACAGAGCTCCTTGCAGGATTGGATCTGAAGAGCTTGTCCACACATGACAGTCTTTCTGATATAAGGTAGGGTATGAATTTAGAGTGGAATAGCTGTTCTAGAATAACTCCATGTGTAAACAAGCCCTAAGTGACTTACCTGAGGCCACATAGGTAGTCAAGAATGGAGTGGAAATATAACCTACAAGCTGTGGTTCCATCTTGTGCTTTAACCACTAGACTACACTTCCTTGTGAGCAGGAGGGGGAACATTCAGCATTCTGAGACAGGCATTTGTTTATCATCACATGTTTTTTAAATCCAGGTGTGGTACATATTTGAACAGTGTTTAGCAGAAAGGGGCTCCAATCTCTGATTGGGGCTCCCAGAACTGCTATCATACAAATCAATAATCATATACAACATACATAATCGGTTTTACAAGCTAGATCTGTGCACAACTCTTCCTGCAAGCAAGCCTGGGGGCTGGATCCTCATCTTGTATAAATCAGTGACGCTCTATTTACATCAGTGGAGCTGAGCCAGTGTACACTAGCTGAGGATGCAGGTGAGTCCCTAAAGTATATAACCAAAACGTGTAAGGAAATGTAAATAGCTTAGTTAACTAAAGGTATTACACAAATGATTTGTTAAAAGAAATGGAACTTTATGCACTTCAGCATTAAATTATCTGAATAAAAAAATAAGGTATTTGTTATGCTAGAATAGAGATTTATAGGAAAATGAACCAGCCTGTAGTGATACAATAATTGCCCTACCAGATCAAATTTAGCCTTGCATCCTGTCTCTGAGAGTGGTAGCACCAAATGGTTTAGAGGAAGGTACAAGAAATCCCATAGTGGACAATTATGGCATGCCCTGCCATTGGTGACATTTCTTCCTGACCTCTGTGAGAGGCTCATGCCTTGAAGCATGTGTGTCATCCCTTTAAAAACTGCTTTTATCCTGTATAGTATAAGCTTCTCATTATCCATACAAATGTTTGGAATCTGTGTGCAAGCCTGCACAGTGGGAAATACAATTCCAAAAGAAAACCTTGAAAGGACTTCATTTCTTATGCTCAATTATATCATCTTACTCTGCACAGCAGGTCCTTCATGTCACGTAAGTTAAGGTGTTAAGCTCTTTAAAGGAAAGTTCTCTCAAGTGTCTTAAGTTGGTGAGAGACTCTGAAACATGAAAGATTAATAAGAATTTGGAGGACTTGAGCTTTAGAAAAGTTTTCAATATAGGCTGGAACTGGAAACTTTGGGGAGATGAATAAATGAAATGCGAGCAAAGCGAATCATAATACAGTATATATGGCTGCAAGCAGTGCGTGGCTAGATTGAGTTAGTGAGAGTACAGCAACTATAAGAGCAAGTGAAACTGCAACCTGACACTTGAAAGATGACTTACAGAATGCTCTTATTCCAATGAATCCTTGGAGGGTATTTTTAATGTGGTGGAACATTTCCCAGACTTTTAATTTTGCCAGTTAATTTCTCTGTTCTTGGCAGCCCAGATCAGTTGTCACTAAGTATTTTAGAAAGACTTAATAAGGGATGGGGATGAACCACAAAGCTAAAATGTGGGGGAGGAGAGGAAAGGGAAACTGAACCCAAAGTTTCAGGTTAGCCCATTATACGAGATGCATAATGCAAATCTAGCTCTGGGCAGGTTCAGGGATGCTGGATTCAGACCCATCTGTCACTAGATGTAATTGAGTTAAAAGTTATGCAAGTGGAAATGAATAGTTCATATTTAATAAGCCAATGTCCTCAAAGAGATAATCAGAAGAGAACCAGTTGCTTCTGCTTTGATGCCTGCTTCTTGATTTAACTCTGTTGGATGGTATGGTTTCACCAGTTCTGAAACTAACAAAGTTCGTTTTAATCTCAAACCTTCTAAAATATACAAGGTAGAGTAACGAAAAAGCATCTCATAGTTGGCTGAATTTGTTAAAAAACGGATGTACCTGTCTTTGGAACCGTAGGCACATCATGGGAATAAGCACAGCCCAGTAAAACATTCACCATTTCAATAAAAACTATTATTTGAGTCCAAAATCCCCCAGATGACTTGCTTTTTGCATGACGTAGTCAAAAATAAATGTGGTTGGATCATGTTATTCAAGAAAAGCACAGAACAAAGAGCAGACCTTTTTAATCAATGGGCTTTCTATGAAAACGGAACTGCACCAGGATGTAAACTATTGGCCTCTCAATTCCACTTGTGTATTGAGCACAAAGCTCCCTTGTTGCCTGTTATTTGAGTATGGTTATCTGTAGCTGATTTGGAAGACACTCGGGATAGGATCCATGATGGGACTTAGGTGTTGTAGTGCTGAGAGTCACAGCCCCTAACTTTAGATGGGAATGAATGAGGAGGAGGAGGAGGAGGTGGTGATGCCCACCCTATAACCCAGTGGTTCGAGCACTAGAGAATAATTCCCTCTGGCCCAATGACTATTTAAGTATTTATCCACAGTCATTGGGCTGGAGCGCAAGCAAGTGAGGGAATAACTCTGTAGCCTGGTGGTTAGGACACCTATGTAGGAGACCCTGGGTCCAGTCCCCCTGCTCCAGTCACTATTTAATCCAAAGTGGAACAGCTTCAAGAGGAGAGACTGAGGCAGTCACACTTTAGACTCTCCCAGAACTCACTGGTTTGAGCACGCTCCTGAGAGGTGAGAGACCCACTGTGCTCCAATCCCTTTTTCCCCTCTGACAGAGGTGGGGGATTGAACTGGGTCTTCCACATTCCAGGCCAGTGCTCTATCCAGTGGGCTAAAAGTTATAAGGTGCCTCCCCTTCACCCACCCCCTCAATTTTGAATGGGACCTGATCTGGTAGGCATGCTCAGAGGCCGCCGACAGGATTGGGCACTGCACCTCACTTAGGTGGCCAAATGTGCCCTTCTTCCCCTGGTTTGTGAATCGCTCTGGAGCGTAGGTGGGAGATAGGCATCTGGGCATTTAGAGTGGGGCAGCTGTGCACATGGTCCAAAACGTAGGTATCTAGGGAACTTTGGCAGTGGAAAGTTACGCACCAAATGAGTTTAGGCACTTACAGGGATAGGCGGCAACCAAGTGGGAGGGCCAAGTCACCTCTACAGTGGGAATAGGCTGAAGAGTGTTGTGGGGAACTGAGGCTGACCCTCACCACAAGAGGGCTCTCCAGGATGATGAGTCATGTAGCAATTTCCCATAGTTTTTTTTAAATTTGAGTCTGAGTAGCATTTTGAAATACAATATGAAAAGCACTTAAAGAAATCAACAAGCATACTTAACAGCACAGGGCGTTGTGTTCCCTGAGCTAGCTGCCTACCCACCATAAAGCACTGAAACTCTCCTTATCTCTTGCTCTTTGATCTTGCAGTGAGTGCTTACGACAAATCCTCTGTGTTCAGGAGTCTGCAAGAGGGGCAAAGTGAATCTATAAATTATCACTTAATTTTAGTTTCACAAAGAGAAGCAGAACTCAGTCCACACATAAGAATTAAGACAAATCTTGTGTTTTGCTACTTAGAAATAAATGGATGTTATGGTTTTGCACCAGCTGTTTGACCCCCAGCATTGATAACAGTATTTGTTATGCAGAACTATAGATGGTTTTCAGATATGAAGGGCTAAATCCAGCCTTGTGCTAGGCTGGTACACTGCAGGCGAAGGTAGAATGGCTGCTGTTGAGCATTAAACACTAACTAGTGGCATGGTGAGGTTGTGGTATGGACTGCTCAGAGACCCACCAAAGTGCACTCCCCAACACGGTACCCCACTACAAGGGATCTTGGTGTGTGTGTGTATGGGTAGGATTCCTGTTGCTTAGGATACCTCACCTGGGTGCAAGTAAGGCTGTTGTTTTGACACTGAACCTTTTAAATAGGTTGGGGCCTAGACTATTTATCCCTCTCTCCCATATGTTTACTGTGACCGCTGCGATCAGCCCAGGAAGCAGGGCAGTCTTGGTGCGTGGTCCTCTGCTGTGGAATTCTCTTCCTGGCTTGGTTTGCCAGAGGCTGAATCTACTGACCTTCAAGTCATGCTGCAATGTCCATTTCCCCACTCTCCCAGGCTGGGCGTGGCTATAGAGGAAGATGTGTTGGGAGAGGGTAATGAGACAGTTGAGGGTTGTGTGGGGATTTGGAGAGCTTGTCATTGTTTGTAAGGACTGTATCTGAATGATTGTTTTCATTCTGTAACTACTACACATGCACCCAGGGCATGGGACTAGCACATCTTAGACACCAGAAGACTAAAGAGAGAGCAAGCAAGCCAGCATCCATTGTTGGCAGCAGCTATCTCATGATCTGGCAATAGCTGCATATAGTACAATGGTTTCCCTTCAGAACACTGTAGTCGGTGGTTAGAGCACTGACGTGGGACTCAAGACATAGGTTCTATTCCTGATTCTGCTGCTGGGTGATCTTAGGCAAATCATTTTGCTGCTCTGTGCCTCAGTTTCCCCACCTGTAAAATGGGGAGAATGATAGTGACTGCCTTTGTAAAGCATTTTGAAATCTACTGATGAAAAATTCTATACAAGACCTAGGTATTATTGTGTATTAATCAGTTGTCTCATTTGATTGGGTTTCATTTTATGCTTATTTGCAGAGTCAAAAGGAACAGAATGGAGGAGAAGCTGAGGCCACTGGAAGAGGGAAGGGAATTGACTGCGCGGCGCTCACTTGCATGGTGCAGCTGGCACAGATCATTGTTGGAGTGGGTCTGGGGTTCTTGGTCAGTGCTGCAGGCAGTGTAATAGTGGTTGTGATTTGTGCATCTGCTGTGGCATTAACAGGCTGTTGCTTTGTTGCTTTCTTTGTTCGGTATGTGGAATAGAACAGTGCATAGATGAAGGAAGAAATCCCCACGGGAACTTTGTCACTCTTGATCTGTATCCATTGGGTGCAGTTTCTACACTGATATTTTTATAGCACGCTCTTCTTTCATTGGCTGGAGTGGTTAAAATTCCAGGGCATTATTTCTCCAGAGTGGAAATACGTGGTAAAATTGGTGGCCTCACTTCTCAGGCTGTAAGATCTCTCCATGACTTTCCTTCCTCTGCCCCAATTTTGTGTTAACATGTAAGCCACTTTCATACATGGCAGTGTAATGCTCTTCATCATTAGTGGTAATGCTCATCATTAGCCAAGCTGGAGAAGAGAAGAGATGAAATGTGTGGCAAAAAGAATGTATCCAGTAAGAGTGAAAGCTGGGGTTACTGATCCCAAACTCCAAGGAGGTACTTTTAAGATGGGGGTTCTTAGCCTGGGGTCATGGTTCCAAGGAAGTGTCAAGGAGTCACACCCAGTGCTTAATTTGTGCCAGGGCTGAGCCCCGGCACCTCTAGGCTTGGCAGTTCATAGCCCCGGCACCTCTAGGCTTGTCACATCAGTTATGAAAGTAAAAAAATTGCTTGAGGTCCAGCACCTAATTGCTTGAGCCCCAGGACCTTCATTAGAGATTAAGCACTGGTCACAACCACTGTGTCCTTTCAGTATTGCCAAATGGGAGAGGGGTTCCGGCTAGATGAGGAGCGGGCGTAGTATGGAAAAGTGGATCCTGGTGTGGAAAAGGTTGAGAAGTCCTACTTTAAGGTATATCCCACTACTGGACAGCTTTATGTGGTATGTTGTGCTTATATAAATGTGAAAGAATAACATAGAACAAGATTTTCAAACATGGATGCCTAGAGATGGGCTCCTAAGTCCATATTGAGGCACCTAAATAGGGAGTCAGTGGGGAGCTGCTGGGAGTTGAGCAACTTTGAAAATCTAGCCCCTTGTTTAAATGTCTAAAATTAGGCACCCATTTTTAAAAAATCTTGGCCAAAAATTCTAAAATTTGTGAGCCACCTAAAATGTTCAAGCTGATTGATACAGTACTTACCTTAACTGAATGAATTCAGACCTGTTTGCTCTCCTCTTTTGCACATAAGAGTCTAACTTGATCAAATTCTTGTTTTGCTTCTTTCACAGCATTCAACAGAATATTATTGTAACTTAATTCAGTTCCACAAAGCATTACCATGAATTGTTCTATATCCACACCTCAAACCAATATACTAAATCCTATAGGCAAACCAGTCTACTTTTATTTGAGTACAGAGCTTGCATCTTTATTTTCATTAAAACACCAGAATTTGTTACAGAATTTGTCTCCTGAATCATTCCATCCAGATTCAAGTCAGTTTCAAATTGGACCATAAAAGGTTAAGATTAAAGATATCTGAATGAGCTTTAGAGACCTGATTCTGTATTCCTTACTAACTGGAGTCAAGTTTGGGGTACTTAAGAAATACTGGACCAGACCTGTTAAGTTGTATTCCTGGCTAAAATGTATCCAAAAGGAGCATTGAGCTGCTTGCTTCCGAAGTGCAGCATTTGTTTTTAAAGCGAAGTGTCTTTATTTGTGGTGTGCATCTTCTGTTCTGGTGCCGTTCCTATCCATGTCCCATGTTAAGTGCTAAGCCACATGAAGCCTTCTGTTAATGCAATATTATTACGCAATCCCACAGTGAGGGATCGTTGCCAGATATTTTTTCTAAAAAGTACTGTACGGTTCTGACCAGCACCATTCAGTCAAATGTGTTATCGACTTCATCGCACATCGAAGTACCAGCAAGCGGCATGAAGTGACCAACCCTGTGCGTGTTGCTCGGTTTTTGATTTGAGTGCTTGGGTGTTTTTGTATTGACATGCCACCTTGATGCATTCTTTTATGGTTTTCGACTCTGCCAAGCGTTTCACATAATGTTATAAAACTCTCTTTCGCTCTCCCTGTCATTGTGATGGGGTGTCCACCCCACACAAGGCAGAGCAGCTTGTTGGGCTGCACTTCAGAGACAGTCAAGGCCTGAAAAGCTAACTGATGATGGATCCCAGCTGGACAGGGGCAGGCTGTGCTTAGAATCATAGAATATCAGGATTGGAAGAGACCTCAGGAGGTCATCTAGTCCAACCCCCTGCTCAAAGCAGGACCAATCCCCAACTTGTATAAAGCCAGCAAGCTGAGAGCAGAAGAGGGCTGTAAGTGGCTGAAAGTAGCATGCAGTCTCTCCCTGGGAAAAGGGAAGTGTGTCTGGAGCTATAAAGTCTGGCAAGAAGCCAAAGAAAGGAATAGTCTACAGTTAGTCCCTGGGAGGAGGGAGTTTGGGCCGGTAAACACAGAGGAGGGGGCTAGAAGATAGAGCAGGGAAGTAGGAATGAATCTAGGGAAATACTAACAGGGTTTGGGAGCAAGCAGCCTGGAGTTCCTTGACAGAGGGTCCCTGAACTGGAACCCGGAGTAGGGGATGAGCCTGGGTTCCCTGACAGCCACTGAGAAAGTAATGTAGGACCTGTCCTTGGAGCAGAAGACTGTCTAGAATGGCATGTGGGCAGCTGAGTGGGACTTTGATACCCTGGAAAGGGAAGACTATACAGGGAGCTGGCCAGAGGGCTGAGACATGAAGAGGGAGAGCTGCGAGTCCTGGAGAGCAAGGGGTGGGGGAGGCTGTGTGAACAACGGTTGGAAGGGGGGCATCGGACCTGAGTGGAGCTAATTCTCAGATCTAGCTACAAGGAGGCACCCAACAGTAAGCCTGTGGAGGTCAATTATCAAACGTGTTTCCTTGCTGACATTTGGGACTTCAGTGAAGAATCATACTGGGGAATTCCAGTCTCAATCCTTGGGCATCTGCATGGTGTACCTTTCCCCCCACCCCCAACATTGTTCTCATCCCTCCTGATAGCACAGCTCATGAACCCCTCCCCCCCGCATTGCATTGCTGCCCGTTAACCTCTCTCCCTTATTACCTCTGCTGTGTAATTATGGAGAGAGAACATCAGTGGAGTCAGGCTGGGGGGCTCAAAGGGTGGCTTGTCAGCTCTGCAGCATGTTCTCCCCTCCCACCTGATCTTGCTGAAGTCCGTTTACCAATGCTGTGTTGCATTTGCGCTCCCATAGCCAGGGATGGGACAGAAACTAAAACACATCCCCTACTTAAGACTCCAGAATAATATTCCCACTGAAGCGTCTCCTACACAAAAAGGCATCCACCCCAAAATACAAATATCCTGATTAGAAAATGGAAAAATTCCAGGTGTGTGCATCTTATGGAAAAAAACTTTTAAATGGCACCAAAACCAATCTTAAATATTACAGGTCCTAAGCAGGAAACAAAGGTTCGCTTCAGCACTTTGAAAATGTTACAGATATTGAACATGTTCACTGTAGTACCATTCATTTCAAGGGTTCCACCAATTCTGCCCTTTTAATTTTAATTCAATGCATGGACCAAATTATAAATAGCATCAGTTACTGCATTTAATAGCAGACTGATGGGTGCTTTTAACTGAATAACATGGGCTATGAAGTCAAGAAGACATTGAGCTTGGTACTGGTCATCCAGTTTTACCTCGATATAAATAGGATCCAATATATAAAGACCTGATGTGGAGTATAACCAGAGAGAGAGAGAGTGTGTGTGTGTGTGCGCGCGCACCCTGTCCAGGTGTTTGTCTAACCCAGTTGTTCTCAACCTGTGGGCTGCTGGTGGCCCAATCATCACACAACTGTGGCCCATGTGACATCCTCAGGGCCATACAGGAAGAATATGTATTTACACCTGGGGGAATTCTGTGCCACTGTGCATGTGCAGAATTCATGTCCGGTGCAGAATTTTTTTCCCGCAGAAAATACATTCTACCTGAGAAATGCTGCAAGCCTGCCTTTCACGCACCAGAGGCCATTGTGGCACCAGAACAGCTAGCAGCTGGCTGCATTTATCAGAGCACCCTACCATTGAGCCAGGTTAGAACAGACAGAGTGGGGTACATGGGGCTACTGGGGGTCACAGACTGGGGTTCAGAATGGCTAGTTGGGGGGACAGACTAGCGCTTGGGTTCAGAAGCTATGGAGTGACAGCATTGAGCCAGGAGCTGAATGGCAGGGGTGCTGCAGGGCCACATGGGGCAGGAGGGAGGGGGCTGCAGGGACACATGGGGAGAGGGCAGATGTGCCCAAGTGAATGGAAGCGGCTTGAGATCAGCAAGGGTCTGCATGGGGGAGGCTCCACAATTCCCTAACAATCCCCCCACCAAAAAGCCCCTGTTCCATACTTCTCCCACCCACCCTCTAGATTCACTTCCAGGCTCCTTTCCTCTCCCTCAGCTCCTCTGTTACTCCAACTCCCCCAAGCCTTTGCACTGCTTCTGAGGGGTGCAAGAAATACATTTCTGTATTGCAGTTTAAATGAATTACTCAAAGTTCTGTATTAATATGCCTAGTAATGAATCTATTTGTCAAAAAAAAAACATTTTGTTGTCTGTATTGTTACAGACATATTTGCTGACAGGTATTTTGAAATAAATTACCAAAATAATTGAAGCTGGCATGATTGTATTTTGTTATTTTGACAAATAAAATATGCAGAATTTTAAAATATTCTGGTCAGAATTGTTGGTTTTTTGGTGCAGAATTTTTATTTTTTTGCACAGAATTCCCCCAGGAATAACATATTGTGTGGATGCATATGCAGCCCATAATGGTAAATAAGCTGAGAACCACTGGTCTAACCTGTTACTATAAACCTCCAATGATGGGAATTCCATGATCTCCTATTTCAGTACTTAACTATTCTTAGAAAGTTTTTCCTCACATCTAACCTAAATCTCCTGTGCTGCAGATTAAGCCCATTACTTCTTGTCCTACCTTCAGTGGACATGGAGAACAATTGATCAGCATCCTCCTTATAGCAGCTCTTTTCATATTTGAAGACTGTTATCAGGTTCCTCCCCCATCCCTCAGTCTTCTTTCTCAAAGCTATCCATGGCCAGTCCTTTTTTAAATTTGTCATCACAATCATGTTATCTAAGCCTTTGATCATTTTTGTTGCTCTCCTCTGGACTCTCCAATTCGTCCACATCATTCCTGAAGTGTGGCACCCAACACTGGACACACTACTACAGCTGAAGTCTCGCCAGGGCCAACTAGAGTGGGACAATAACCTCTCAGGTCTTAGATACTACACTCCTGTTACTACATCCCAGAATGGTATTTGCCTTTTTTGCAACTGTAAAATATTGACTCATATTCAATTTGTGATCCACTATACCCTCCAGATCCTCTTCAGTAGTAGTATCACCTAAGCCAGTTATTCCCCACTTTGTATACCTGATTTTTTTCTTCCAAAACGAAATACTTTATTGAATGTCATTGTTGATTTCAGACCAGTTCTTCATATATCACTTTTTAATCCATAGACCTCAAAGCACTTTACCGAGGTCGGTATCATTATTGCCATTTTTCAGATGGAGAAACTGAGGTATAGAAAGGGGAAGGGAGTTACCTAAAGGTCCCCCTGTAGGCCAGTGGCAGAGCTAGGAATAGAACCCAGGTCTCCTGAGTCCTAGTGCCCTGCTTGATCCACTAGAATACAGTGCATTGTGTGATGAGTAACTACCCCAGCCTTAATGGAAATAGCGATGGCCTAAATGAATCAGAGCAGAAAACAAGGGTTAGCCTTGTTAACTTTCGAGGCTGACACTTTGTTTCCTTTTTCTTTCCCTCAGGAAATACTATTTTATTTCCTGTTTCACAGACAAGCATGGGACTTGAATCAAAACATGCAATAAGGATATTTATTTGTTTGCTTAGAAGTGCTTTACAGTATTAGTAATGTCATGCTCATTATCCCAATTTGCACCCTATTTTTCATAATTCCATTTGGTTCCCTTGAAAACAAGCAACTCAAGCAGCTTGTGTGAAATGCTTTCTTCTTGATTAAACATGCAGCTCAGGAAGCAAACAGAAAGTCTTAACTTTGGCAACGCTTGCAGAAAAAGCACACTATCTCCCCAGCATTGATCCCTTCAGTCTTGTCAAAAGATGCTGGGGGAACAGTGGTTGTCAAGAGGAGACCTAGGGAGGGTATGCTTGGGGTAGGTGGCTAGCTCAGTGGAGGAAAAGGATGATGGCATTTGCTGTAAAACTACTTTGAGTGGCCTTTCTCAGTTTAAAGCTATCAAATATCACACACTTTTTTTTCTCAGGTTCTGTGAAATGAAAATTTCCAGAAACAAAACTGGTGCTTCTATGTGTATCCATGGAGCAAAAATTTGGAAACACTCCTCCCAGCCTAAACGATTACACTTTTCTTAACTCTGCGGCTCGCTACAATGTAACCAGTATAGTACATCACTTTTTAGTTATTTTTATATGGATCTCCCTATTTTTTCTTTAGGAGAATTAAATCCTCCCCCATATATTAACATCTCCCTTGTGTATTAACTATATTGGTTCTACTCCCTTGTAGGGGCATTAAAACAAGTTAACATCTATGAAAAAAACACAGGTCTGCTCCCTGTGTGTATTCAGAGTAATCAATGCTGACTGTAGTGGGAAAAATAAATGCTTATTGCTTTCGACTTTTGTTAGCCTGTCAGAACTGACACACATAGATCTGATTTGTCACTTTCAAGACAGGAGATCTTGTCTAAAAATTACCTTTTTGTGGGCACAATTATTTGTGAGCACAAGATTGTGCCTCTATAATAGGAGGCTGGGCTGTGGCTCTCTTAAAAATCAGGCGAATTCCTCCCACCCCAAAGCCTGAATGCTTGGTTGGTCTCCAGTGCCCAATGAGACAATACTTCTTAAGAATGTTGTGAATAGCTTCCCTTTTCAGCTTCTAGCTTGAAAAGTGTCCCACTCCCTTTTGTCTAATTCTGAAGGTTCATTATAAATATACATCATCCTAGTCAAGAAAACCTTTCTGGTTTTAGAGTTCTTTGGCTAACATCTCATGGTATAAAGCTGCAAATATGCTCAGAAACATCTCTTCTTCATATGTCTGAGGCTTAAAAGCCCAGTCACAAAGAGGAATTTTTGAGTTATCAGACACCAGAGATTTTAAAATAGTGCCTTTCCACTGGAAAGTAATAAACTAACCTTCCCGATTGGCAAGCTGTCTTTCCCTATTTAGTACCTGGTGCCTCTGTCCTCTCTTTCACCTTCTATCCCCAAGCTAGCTTAAGATATTTTCCTGATATTTTCCCTTGGTAGCAGCTACCTATCACATTGGTCCAGAGTCTGCAATTGTTACTCTGGCAAAAGAAGTTGCTGGCTGAAGTTAGCATCAAGTACACAATAAGCTAAAAGTACTTCTAGCAACTGAATGTTACTAGTAAAGAAGTAAGGCAGCAAGCCGCATGCAGGGACCCCCTAAATCTGTGCAAAGCCTCACTGAAGTCAATGCATTCCATGTGGGTGCAGGAATCTGCATTGACTTCAGTGGGGTTGTACATGAGCACAGGGACCTCACTGCAGAGTCAGGGCCTAAGTTTTGAATTTCAGAAAAACAGTCACAGTATTGCTAACCTCAAGCAGTCAAAAATTTTGAGTCAGACCTCAAAATATAAGATTTGCTTAAAAATCGTGATTTTTTTTTTAAATAAATGTATTGTGGGTTCTTTTTGTCTTGTGCTTTCTCAGCCTTTAGGATGCTCTTGAGTCACATTTCATAATTTTCTCCACAACCATCAGGGCTAATTTTATGTGTGCATGTGTCTGAGATTCTCTTGACTCCAGAAGCTGGAGTTTTAAGAGAAACACCAAATAATGTGAGACTTGCCATAAAATCGCAAGAGTTGGAAACAATATGTTTAGAAAAGATATAATCGTCCCCAGGAGAAAGCACTTACACCTTTCATAGTAGAACCACACTAATAAAAATGGGGTTAGACCTTTCCCTTTATGAGTCCATATCATGTGTGCTCAAATTCCAAGATTTGTTTTTTCATAATGACAGCTCTGAAAACTGAAACGTAGGATCCAAGAGTCTATCTAGGTTCTTTTCTTATACTTAATCACCTGCCATATAGGGGCAATAGGGAAAATGAGGGACTTACTTAGAGTTGTGGAATCCCTATTGCCTTCAGATTAGGAACACGCTGACAGCTGT